CAGATTCTGCTTATTTCTTCACTTAATGATCATTTATTCTACAAACCTGGGCTAACTGCGACTACCTCACCTTTCCACAACCAAAATCCTAACAAATGTTTCTAAATCAGCTCCAACCTGCTGGTTTTAGACTGGATTTAAAGGAACTCAGTGTTTCTGCTCTTTTGCAGTTTTCTGGAAGTTTGTTCCAGATTTGTGGTGCATTGAAGCTGAAAGCTGCTTCTCCATGTTTGGCTCTGATTCTGGATGCAGAACAGAACCAGAACCAGAACCTGAGAGGTTTGAAGGTTGATCCAGCAGCAGATCTTTAATCTGGTGAGTGATTTCTAATCTAGAGTAGGATTAAAGTCTCTCAGTGAAGGACTGTAGAACTAGATGATGTAGACTTGCTGGGGCTGAGAGACGTTGGGCTGATTGTAATAAAGCTGTCCCTGATGGATGCCGTTTAGAGATAGTTAATGTTATTTCTGACTCCTAAAAGCCAAAACTCTGAGTACAAACATCAAGTATTTCATCAGTTAATCATGTAGGAACATTAAAGAATCTCTCATTTCTTCCCCAATAAGAAGAAATGTTCTCATGAACAAACAATCCATTTGTTCATGAGAATCCTCCATCTTTATAACCGACATTCAAAATGGCTCCTCTGCAGTTCAGATAACAGAGAATTTGTTCCTGAAGCTGTAAATGATGAAACACTCACTTTGTCCTTCAAGGCTTTTATTATGTGTGCTGATAAAATGTCTCTGACGGTAAAGAAACTTTATCAGCAGGACTTTAGACACAGTGAACCTGATCTTTCAGTAATAACCGTCTGGTTGCTGGGAAAGGGTTAAACCAAACCAACCTGTTATAACATATTGTTCATACAACAAGATGAAACTTGTCTGTCAGCAGCTTTGATCACATCAAAGCTGAACTTGCAGGAATTTGCCCTTAAGGACAGATTCCTGTTTTCTACCTGCCTGAACATTTGACTGAATATTTGCTTTGGAGACTCAGAGAACCTGCAGATCTCTGCAGAAATCTGCAGATCTCACAGCTCTTTCAGTTTCAACCTGAAATGTCTGCTGGAAACAGATGAAGGTGAACAAGTTGCATCAACAGGATCTGGACTGTGAATCACTTTCTGTACCTGGGTGCATGCAACACGTTGCTCTGTTTAAACAGTAAATACTATCAGCGTTTGGTCAACAGTCCTGCAGATGGAAAAACCAAACAGGCCTTTGCTTCAGCAACAAAGGTTAGCATGATGCCACTGAACTGAAAGCAGAGATGCTCTGCAGGAGAACTGTTCCTGATTCTCACTCAGTGAACAAAGAAAATAATGAACTATATCTGACATTCAGTCATATTGTATTCAGTCTGATCCCTCCTGGCATCTAGTTAGTACAGCTCTATGTTTGAGGAATAAAATGATATTTTAAAAGTCTTGACCTTATTACCTCACTTCCTGTTTGGTGCTTCAGACTCCTGATCTAATCTGCATGCTCTTTACGGTAATATTTGTAAGTAAATCTAACATATTAGCTCTTTAAAACACCAACTTTATGTTTCTGAACGTCATGTTTTGGGAACCACAGTGTCTCATAATGAGTCTCTTCCTTTTCCACTGTCAGATTTTGGGTTAGTCCTCTGGCTCCTTCACCGACAATAATACAGGGGTTAAGGTTAGGGTTAGGGTTCAGTTCTGTTACTTTGGAGGTGTTGGATTTGGTGTTGCAGGTTCCTGGAGTTTTGAGAAGTAAACTTGGAGGCAGATTATGTAATCATCTGGTTTCTCTCCTGTGGAACCGGATCCCAATTTACTGAAACATGTACCTTTAAGAGTAGGACTAAAACCTTCCTTCTTGGTAAAGCTGATAGTTGGACAGTTTTAGCTTATCCTGAGTATCTTTGTAGTTTAGCTGCCAGGCTTAGTCTGCTGGAGGACAAACTGACCACTTTCTATTTCTTTTCCTCACTGCATCTGGAGTAACACAGGATCTAAATGTGAATAAATCCATATTTATAAAGAAATATTTCTTTTAGAAATCACAACTGCACTTCATTGTTTAATACCAGGTCACACAAATGGTCACTGCAAAGCACCTGAATGTTAAGATGTATATAAAAGAGTCAGCTGTGGAGGCATGTCATTTAGATATGTGATATGATAATCAACATCTTTGGTGGTGTGCAAATGAAACGTCCCCACCACCAGGAGGAGGTATATATGCTCAACAGCTGAGGCTCAGGGCAGTTCACCTCCTCATAACTCGGGGTTCACCATAGTTAGGAACCAATTCATGGGGGATAGCCACTGCCCCCTGCAGGTTCCAGTGGAAGAGTGAACCAGAGCATCAGACTCTGTTTTGTGTCTGCACCAACTTTATAAATAAGACCCTGGTTTGGTATTCTGTTTGTCTTTAGACGCTTCCTGGAGAGAGGCATTGGCTGAGCTGATACTGCCAACAATCTTCTCCTACTACAGATTGGTACATCTGACTCACAGACAAGAGCCTGGCAGTCACATGACTGCTCAAAGAAGGACAAAGAAAGCTTGCAGAGATCAACTCAGGAGCGTAAGAGATACTGGAGAATATGGAAGGGTCAACACACAAGTCAGGATGTGACGATCCCCGACCACAATGCAACGGCCAGTTAACAGTGCTTCCATTATGGATGGATGGATGGATGGATGGATGGTGGATGGATGATGGATGGATGGATGGATGGATGATGGATGGATGATGGATGATGGATGGATGGATGGATGGATGGATGGATGGATGGATGGATGGATGGATGGATGGATGGATGGATGGATGGATGGATGGATGGATGGATGGATGGATGGATGATGGATGGATGGATGGATGGATGGATGGATGGATGGATGGATGCAGACATATCTCAGTGTTTAGTCAGTGAACAGAAAATCTGCCTGGTTACTGATGACCAGCTACCAGAATCGTCTCTTTGTTGTCTATAATTAAATTGTTTTTTTTCCTCGGTTCTGTTTCTCTGCTGTTTCTTTTCCTGCAGATCAGATCAGAATCACCAGAAACAGTTTATTCTGAATTCATACCAGAGAAAAGCACAGAGAGAATCATAAAACCTGATCAAACATGTCTGACTGCGTCTTTGTTTAGCTCAGGTAGCAGCAGGTGAGGCGCCATGGTAGCGATCCGCCCATCATTTAAAATTCAAAGTATGAGGATCAGATTACAGATTAAACTGATCTGCTGCTCAGAGCAGTAACTGCATGAAGGGCAGAGAAATACAGTTTGACAGAAAGTTTGAGTCAGAATTAAAACTTTCAGTCCTCAGAAATGATTCAGACAGAAAGAATAATAATAATAGGAAATAAATGCACAGCATAAAAAGCCACACGTTATTCTGAGTTGGGGGTTTTCCCAGCATGCAGCGGGGCCTTTCTTTATAATGCCATATATGGACTTGTTTTCGTTTGAAAACACTTCCTTATTCTCACTGAAGCAGGAAGAGGAAGTTACAAAGAACAACAACAAATCCATCCAGAAACCTGATCTGCTGTAAAAACACTGAAACACAGTGAAGAGAAACCAGGAGCAGATAAAACCAGAGTTTACATGTTTTACTTTTCTGTTCTGTGGCTCCAGACAGACTCAGGTTCCAGAGTCTCATCATGACAAACAGGAAGAGCTGCAGGCTGAATAAAACCTGCTGATGATTCACTTTAAGGAGAGAAAAGAAACAGCTTCAGTTCACAGTTTGTTTCTCTCGGTTCTGATCCGTTAGAGAAACAGGTTCAGTTTTAATCTGCTAAGAAAAGTGATCAATTGACTCTTTCACTGTAGAAGCAGCAGCAGCAGGAACATGTTGGTCTGGTAATTTTCCACCCGCCAGTGGGAGGAGGAGGAGGCTGTTGACATTCGAGTTACAGGAACAGGATGAGGCGTTTCTGAGAAACGAAAGCTATCTTTACTTAAGCCTGTTTCCTCATTTTAACTGCTAACATTACTGAAGTTATTCAAAGAATAAAAATAGTTCACAAAAACCTTGTTGAACTCATTAAGACCTAACGTGTTTAAATCTGAGCTGAAATGATGTTTCAGGTTCTGCAAACTGTCTGCAGTCAAATGAAGACAAGATGATTTAGAGAATAATATTTGATGTGATAAACTGATGAACTATTTCATGTAGGGAGACTTAGGAATCTGTTTCTAAAACCCAGTTGTTGATGTGATTCTTCCATCTCAGTCTAACATTCAAAATGGCTCCTCTGTAACTCAGACTGTTACTGTTTAACCCACAGACTCTGTTCCTCAGAATATCTATTATCTTTCTGACCATTAAAAGTTTAAACTTTATCAGCAGAAGCTTCATCTTTACTTTCTGTTCTTATAATAAACTCCAGTTTCTTGGAAAAGGAGGAGGCTGTTAATCAACTTCAGCTGCCAAACATGACTGGAATCTGATTATCTTAAAGTCTTTACATTCATTCCTGTTAGACATGATAAAACTTGCACAACCTTTACTCCTCACACACACACACACACACACACACACACATGCACACGCACACACACACACACGCACGCACACACACACACACTTGCAAAGCAACACATTAACTCCTGCACTATAATCCTTATAATTTACTGCTGACTGGGAGTGAACTACACATAATATTGACTGATGAACTCAAATAAAACCTTTGGTATTTTGACAACATTCAGCATTTAGCTGGGCTCTGACACACAGGCTGTCAGCAACAACATAATTCATTGCATGGATGTGTAAAGTTGACCTGTTGTGTCATCACCTGATGTCATCACTAATCACAGGACTGCAGACTAAAATGTGAACAGAGACACAACTCATTTCACTAAATGAGATCATTTCATTTCTTGTCATTAATTCCAATCATGCAAACTTAGAGAATAAAAACACAAAAAGATCACTGATGACCATCATTAGTGATCTTGTTTGTTCCTGTTGGTGAGGAAATAAATTTATACTTATTAACAACTAGCTTAGCTTCTCATTTTGCTTTTATTAAATGTCACAATAAACTGACACCAGAAGACTAAAATATAATCGTAAATGAGAAACACAGAAACAGATGCGTTAGAAAAACACAGAAGAGAGATTTAAAATCAGACGCTTCTTAAAACGTATTATTTAGGGATGTACCCAGGTCAATATTACAGAAAGTAATAAGTCTGTTAATCAGTTGATGTAATTTGTTGAAATATTGTGATTAATAAGTTTCAGCCCACAGATTGAAATAGGAACCCAACCCTTCCTCAGTAACCCTCTCCATTTTCCGGGCTTGGGACCGTCATTAGCAATGTTCGGTCTTGTGTCCGTCTAATGGCTGGATTACACTGATGCAAGCAGGGCAAAGCAGAATAACAAGGTCTGCTGATGTTTACAGCTGCTAGTCAGGGCTGAAGAGTCTCTACAGTTTCATCCTGGGGAGGAGAAACATTTCTCTTCTTCCAGACAAACACAGCCAGAAGAGCTAGAACAGCAACCACAGCAAACATCACCAGAACCGGTCCAATGTGTCCTCCACCTGCAGAACAGAACCAGGAGTTAGTCTGATCCCACTGAATATCATGATCAGTTGATCTGAGATCCAGAACCAGGACCTGCTGGTTCTGATCCAGAGACAAACACTCACCTGGAGGAGCAGCAGGAGCAGCAGCAGCTACACTCAGCTTGATGGTGATGGTGGTTTTTTCTGAAGCGGCTCTCTTCCTGCGTGTGTTGCTTCCTATTCCAGTCCTGACACTGCATTCATAGTCTCCACTGTCCTTCTCTGTTACATTCTTTATAGTCACATTGACCTTTCCATCAGTGCTGTAAAGGCTGTGCAGTTCTGTTCGGCCCAAGTACTGAGCGTTCTGGAGATCTACATCAATCTCTTCATCCCTGTAGAGAAACACATATTCTGGTTCCAGGTCGTTTCTGGTCAGGTCTACAACTGAGACTTTGCTGTTCCTGTCAGCTTCACATGGCAGATTAACGTTCTCTCCTGGTTCTGCTTTGATGTTTACAGGATCTGTAAAAATAAACCAAAACAAAATGATCCAGAGTTCAGATCTTTACTTTAACAATACAACAAAACAAAGACTAAAAGTCTTCATGTCTAAAATAGATCTGTCTATACGGCAGACATTATTTGTACTTTTATTCAGACGCAACTTTTGACCAAATAATGTCATGCAGTTCATGTTCTATCAGCTTTCAGCATCATCAACCCTAAACATCCTAGCAGCTCCTCCACCTGCCAGTGGGTCATCAGCTTCCTCAGTGCCTGACAGCAGGTGAGGATGAGCAGCATCTCCTCCTCCCAGTAGCCGTCAGCAGCAGGCGGGTCCAGTGCTGCGTTCAGGCCCCGCTCCTCCTCCGTACATTAATGCCTGCCTGTCAGGCCCCCATTAATGCTGCCTGTCAGGCCCCCGTCTGAGGCTCCACCTCAGAGACCAGCTTCTGTCAGACGGATCGTCTTCCAGCCTGAGGGTCAGGCGGGGAAACTCAACAAGAGTTTCACACCAAACCTTCTACTTCCTGTTTGCAAATACATGGAGCTACTTCTCCTTTAATGCTTTATTCAGTCTACAGTTATATATTTATGCTTTTTACAGATTAAACTAAAGTTAAATTCCCAGTTTGTGTTTATGAGCAAATCTATTGTGATTCTCATGTTCTGTATTGTTGGTTCATAAATGTAAAGTTTCTTCTGCAGACACTAACTTGGGATTGTATGCATAGTCTGAATATGAAAATAATTTAAAGTCACAGTCAGATAAATGTTTTTTGGTGTTGATTATATCTTCGTATGGTTTGAATTTATCTAATTATGTCAAAACATACAAGACAGCAAAACATTTTAAAGTGAAACAGCAGAATAACAACAAGAATAAAGCAAAACTATCAGAGCAGAAACAGAAACTTGTTTCTCATGATCTGGCAAACGGCCACTAAGAACAGCGATCTGATCCCAACTGCCTCAACCTTCAGATCATCTCCTGATCACATTTTAATCAGGTTGTCAAGATATAAACAGAAAAACAGTTTGAAATAATCCAAGTTGATGCAGCTTCATATTAAAACATATTCATATTAAATATTAAAAACCACTGGAGCTTTTTCTACAGCTTCTTAATGAAACAAGTTGAATCATCCTGACTGGTTTCAGTGCTGCTGCTCTGATGGAAACATTTTATCTGCTCACCTCCACAGAGACACAGATCCATGAAACTCAGAGCGAAGCAGAGAAAGACGAAGATCTTCATGGTGTTTGTCAGTAAGATCCTCAGTTCAGCCTGATGTTAGCTGCCTGCTGTCACTGCTGTTGATCTGAAGCTGCCTGTGGTCTGATAGTTCTGACTGTTTCTCTGCACTGTGAGCCACACCCAGGTAGATCATTATGACGCAACAAGCTTTTCATTGGCTGAGGAGAAAAAAGAGATCTGCGCACTGAGCTCTCTCAGATTAAGCCACGCCCACATATGTCCTGTACTGAACTGGTTCTTTACCGGTTTAGGATCAATGCTGCAGTTTGAAACAGTTTCTGCTTCAGCGTCTCTGAGCTGATTAAATGCTGATCAGATCCGTTCAGCTTCTCTGATCAGTGAAGTTAAAACCCAGAATCAATAAACTGCCTTATCATTTCTGCTGTGATTTTGGCTTCAGGATATGACGAGATATCTTGCAGACATTTGTACATTTTTACTTTAGCAGCTTGAATTCACAGCATTTTTAAGAGAACATCTCTAAAGCTTTAGATATTAAATCCATATTAAACTTACCGTCCAGAAAAATAGTTACCCACTGGTTCTAAAATATGACAATAAAAAATACAAAAAAATTATTAATAATAAAAAATATTTAAAATTACATAAAAATTACATATTAATTATGTTAAGTGAAAACTTTTGGAAAAATAGAATAACTTTGGCTATAAAATATAATCAGATATTGTTGAAATATTGTGTTTTTATATATTTTGATGCAATATTTGGAACACTAAAGGTCAAGGTATTTATTTATTTATAAACTTAATGCTAATTTTGTAATCTGCTTACACGCACACGCTGCAGCTTACATAACCATGTTTATCTGTGTCTGCCATCAGTCATGCATAAACAGACTGAACTTGATTAGACCCTTCAGGAGGAAACAGACTGCAGAAGATGAAAGATAAACTCTTTGCCTCTCTTGGTTCCATCCATCAGGAGCTCAGTGGGCCGGCGCTGGACGGTGAATGTAACTCTGGTTCTGATCCATTTGGATTGTAACATATGATCATTTTTTGGCATTAAAGCCTGTTTTATTTAACCAAATCTAATTATTTCTCAAGGTAATTTACACTCAGGGGTTCTGGTCGGGTCCAACTGGTTAATGGACCTGGTGTAGCTCAGAGGGAAAATGGATGAACTGCAATATATCCAAAAGGAAACTTAGAAAACTTCAAATAAAATATTAATGTACATGGAAAGGTCATAAAAAACTTTTAGTACAAACTGACTAATCAATATATTTAATCAATTTCAATCAATCAAGTTTATCTGTGTAGCACATTTCAGCAACAAGGCAATTCAAAGGGCTTACATCAGTGTTCTCAAACTTTTTCATCCCATTTAACCCATTTAACAAATGATCAAAAGAGTTAATGGCCTGATCTGGTTAAACATCTTCATATAAAATTCAACCTGAAGTGAAAAATTTCACATCTGGTTGTTTCTCTGTTCATCCTAATGAGAAGAGTGGTAAATGGTAAATGTGACGATAAAACCACCAACACGTCTATCTGGGCATTTTGAATTATTTACAGATTCTGAAAGTGTTGAAACTTTCTAATGATGTCAAACACATGGAGATAAACTTGTTCTTTACTGCAAGTGTTATGTGCATTAATGTCATAAAGGACTATTTGTTATGTTCCGGGGTTCTTGTTATGTTTCTTCTTAGTTTCTTTGTGGAGTTTTGCTGCGTGTTCTTGCTTTTCTCCACCACTAGATGGCGCCAGATCCATTCCGTCGGAGGGCGTGGATGACACCTGCACACCTGATGCGAGTTTAGCTCGTCAGCGGGATGTTCAAGAGGAGCTGACTGCCAGTAACGGCACCTCTGAGCCTAGAGCTTGTCTCTGTGTTCTTGATCTGGTCCTAGTGATTGTTTCCTTGTTGCTTCTCCTACCTTCAGGTGATCCCTCCTGACGCCCTGGATCCACTCTATGCTGATCCTTCCTGGCTTTTCATCAAGCTTTTCCTCGTGACGCCATGGAACGTATCCACTTGTTGCCCGAGTTCCCAGACTCACCTTCTCCATGTGGCAGCAACTTCCTCCAGTCGCACCGCTCCTCTGTACCCACTGATCCTGAGCCTACCTGTCCACTCTTTGATGTACTTCCCCGTTGCCTCCTGGATTCCCGCTGACAACACACCGACCACCTGGAACCATGGAGAGACTGAGACCTCGGACATTGCAGTTACCCTCTTACACCTCAAACCTACTGATCACAAGTAAGATGTGTCCGTTTCACTCACTACATTGTCATTTCCCACGACCCTGAACTCACCACCTTACTCTACTTCTCTAGTGAGCCGTTTGTTCCCTGAACCTCCCTCCCTCCCTGGACCTGACCTGAGCCTCCATAACCAAACCAGCAGTGTTCCAATAAACTTATTTTATTATGCAAGTTTACAGTTTTCTTTCATAAATATAAAAGTTCAAACTTTCATATTTATCTCCTGTGTGTGTTCTGCATGTGGGTTTGAATACACATCCATCATGACACTATTTGTGATTTAGAAAAATAAACTTGAGCAGAAAAAACAAATGAAATATGAAAATAATCCACCCATTCCTACCAGTTGTATTTAATTAATTTACTGATTAAATGAAATAAAAACAGTCATTGCAGATGTGTAAGCAGAGCATCATTCATTAACAAAAACAGAGCAGTTCACACTAACTGAGTAGAGTCCGACTGCATGGAGCCGTTCAAAAGGAATCCAGTCGCTAGTGAACAACACATCAACACTCAGCAGCCAAAACTCTCTTTCCTCTGATCATATAATATTCCTGGAGTTTTCTTTCCACCAGCACCTGCAGCTTTTCCTTCATTTTAAGTGGCTCAGTTTCTTTTGTCCTTTAGTAGCAGATCTTCACTTGGCCTCCTGCCAAATGAAGATTGTAGCTTTAAAGATGAACAGTGAAGTTTATTGGGAGTAAACCCTGAGTTTCACCGTGACAGCAAACATGCAAACATGTAAGCTATGAACCAAACTCTTACAACCGTTTGAAAACTAAAAATAATGTTCACCACTAAAAATATCGACTGACTGAAAAACTATACCATATTAATATACTGAAAAAAATTGAAATTAATATCCTAAGTATGTTAAATTTTAACATACTTTAGCATACTTAAATCAGATTAATATTTCAAGATCTCTTAGGATTAGTTAACTTAAAGTGACATTTTGGAACAACTAATTTTGTGCTTAATAGTATTTAAATTGTATTAAAGCACAATTTAATACAACTTTTAACATTTAAATCTAAATGTTAAAAGTCCGTCCGTTCGTGTAGCACTACATTACCCATGATGCATCTGTTCATTTTGTAGTTCCAATTTCACTGAGCTCAGCAAGTCGTTTTCTGTGCTTCTGTGGCATAAAAATATCATCCACCATCAATCCTCCTTTAATCCCGTGTTTATAAAACCTGCGTTCGTTTTTATCATGCAAGTTTACAGTTTTCTTTCATTTCTGACATTTGTGTTTATGTCAGTTATTATCCCAGGAGGTGAATGGTCCTCGTGTTTCTATGGCTACCGATAATCCAAGAGTTTATTTATAATAACTGAAGTTATTATGTATTGTTGTTATAGTATTATATGGGGTTATTTACCGTTAATTCATATTTTCTGATGGTTTCGTCATTTGTATGTTTATTGCGTTTGACCGATAATTAATGTGTGGTGTTATGCTGCCCTCCAGTGGATGTCTGTGATACTACAGGCCATTTTCATCCTGTATCTGTTTAGCCGTTTACCCCGCATGGCTATCAATATGCACCTTTATTGTTTCTTCTGTTTCAGATAACCTCACACACATACATCCTAAAACACATATAAGCACTTTGTTATTATCTCCAACTCACCATCTGTACCATCATCTCACATGTACCTGCTATTAGTCCATCAATAAACCTTCTAAGCTGCATCAGTGGAGTTGATCTATTCCTTCTGACTGAGGAAGATTCAGTTGAGGAAAAATCTGAATTAGTACATATTAGATGCTCACAGTCTTCTACACTAAATGTACTTCAATGTACATTTTTTTGGACAACTTAAGTTAAACTTAGTATACTTTAAGTATTTTTGCTTGATGTAATATAAACATGCTTGATTAGTATATTTTTAGTGTACTATTTTTGTGATTGAATTACATTTAAAATATGCTTAGAATGTGTTAGAATAATTATGTTTTGTTATCATTCTTACATTGGTAGTTATAATAGATTTAGTATTCACATCCCTGAGAAAAGCTTTCATACTTGTTAGACCTTGAAGCTGCAGCCATTTGTATCTTCGGGATACTCCTATCTGCCTCCCTCCACATTCCTTTTCTACTTTCTACTTTGTAATAAAAGAGAAAGCCCTAACAAAGGGTCTTCAGAGCGCTCAGTGAACGGCTTGAAGCAGCAGTTTGCTGGGTTCTCTCCTTTTGCAAAAGCTTTCATAAAATTCACTTGCGTTGTCTGTTTGTTCTTCTATTTAGATCACATGTGTCAAACTCACAGCCCGCGGGCCAGACGTGGCCCGCCATGTCATTTTATGTGGCCCGCGAGAGCTTAAAAGTTTTGAGTATCTAAAAATAAATACCAAAAAATAAATTAAGAGCGTGCTTTGACCAAAAACTAAATTTCCCACAATGTCTTTCTACCTCGGTAGGCAGTGTTCCCACATCCATGCCAACAAGTGGAATTGAGATATAAATAATGATCCCAAAATGTGCATGAAAGAGAAAAGTTGATGCAGACGGAAGACTGTTTCAAGAAAGATGGGAAGGCGAATACTTGTTTGTGCTTCAAGGAGAAAGAGCAGTATGTGTTTTGTGTCGGTTGTCAAAGAGTACAATCTGCGTCGACATTTTGACACCAAACACGGAGCTAAGTAGGCTAAAGCTAAAGCTAGCCTTCAAGAAAAGCAACAAATTGCCCAAGAATTAAAAGGCAAACTGCGGTCGCAGCAGTTTGTTCATGAAATCCACAGCCAAAAATGAGGCCACTAGCAGTGACAGCTAGCTTCATTGTGGCTGAAGAAATCGCCCACGCTTCCAAGTCTTTTTCAGAGGGAGCGTTTTTGAAGCCGTGCATGCTGAAGGCC